TAACATGCAGGGTTGTTCAGTTACAGATATCGCTACTGATGATACAAAATATATTATTTTATATTTAGCAGTCTTGCTTGCACATATTTATTTCAAAACTAGAAACCTCAGTCATGGAACAAGACTCAGTGTCTCGCTTACATATTCTGCAAACAGAAGAAAGAAATTATTCTGGTCCTCAAAAAATGTACAAGCTTACTTTCTCTTCCCTAGCTGTGTTTTACTATCAGAGTGGGAATTGGGAATAGTAATGCTCACAGTTTAGGGTAGTGTGATAAGAGATCACTTTCACAAGTTCATACAAAACAGCATGCATATGTATGCTGATCTAAATCTTCCTTTAAAACTGGTGGAAATCTTATGTGAACAAATTCTATCAGAAGTTTTCCAGCATTTCTGATTATAATTCAAGTACCGCAAGAGTAGGGGTTTTTGTTTGTTTTGTTAGGTATTCCTGGACTTCTGAATGTGGTAGCTTTAGTCAGAACTGAAAATGAAATGCAGACAGTAAAACCCTGCAACTCATATGATCTGAAATGACAGGTACATTCCTCCTTACATGTTTTATATTTTGTCGCATTTTTCCCCAAACGGATGATTTATAGGATTTATTTACTCTGGAATTGACACTTGCTGTACAATAATGATCCAGTTGTCTGGATTCATAAAGATATAGACAAACGTGGCTCATATGCAGAAATTGAGGGTAAGCAAGATCTACTTCTCAGTACCTGTAGGAATTAATTCTTAAATTTTTTCCTGGGGTTTGCTGTTTTCTGACTAATTTAGCTGGGTTTTCTTGATTAACTCCTTCTATGTGATAGTTCTATTTGCCCACCTCTAAGTCCTCCTCCACCAAATAAGTTTTGAGTCTGTCGGCCACTAACAGCCATGGAAGTCTCAGAGCTGGTGTGTTCACACAGGCTTTGTGGTTTTTTGGAGCCGTCACGAAAGTAGTTGTATCTCCAACCACAGCTATTCTGAAAGGGAACAGCCAGGCAGTTTGTGTGGACTGTTCAGCATTTCTTTGCTTTGCACTGAGCTCACCAGTGTGAGTGGTGGTGCCACTGGCCGAGCTAGACTGGCACAAGGTAGCAGAAGAGCTGGATAATAATCCAAGTGCAGTGGATTTGCAGGGTGTAGCTTCTTCAGATTCCCTGTTTGTAGAACATCTTGTGTTCTTTTCTGTGTATTTTCATACATTGAACTGGACTTTTTCCTAACAATTTTAGTTTTGAAGGTTTTATTTCAAAACAGAGTTTATTTTTTCTTATTATTGCTATTATTTTAAGAAACGGAGACTAGAGTTGTAATTAAGGTTGTATTAACAAAATATTAACAAAGAAATAGTAGGAAACAGGCCCTCCATCGGGTAGTTATATAGGAAAGCAAGAAAGCCAAAGGAGGAATAAAATGAGAAAGTTAGTGGAACTTGCCTAAATTAGCCCATTGTGAGCATAGGATTTCAAATTCTCTGTCCATTTTCCTTTCCCTTGGAGTACACTATCTCTACTGATTTCCTAATTTAACCTTCTTTATCTGTGAAATAAGCTGTCTTAGCTTTGCCTGTTTCATAATGCCTTCTAAGTAAGTTTTACTGTGGAAGAAGGCTTTTCTTTGCAATGCTAACTTATTCTCTCCCTCGATAAGGCAGTCCAATCAAAAGTTATAAGAAACCAACGTTCATATTGTAAATTACATTTTGAAAAATCTAGTGATGAGACAGTTATTTAAAACGGAGAAAAGGAATTGTTCTCTGAGCAGAATTAAACTGTTAAAACAAAGATTATGGACAATGGGTACATTACAGAAATTTTACTCTGCCTCAAAGGAAATATAATATACAAGATCTGGTTCAAGGTGCCATATTACTTTTTCATTGTTATTTAATCCTTCAAATGTTTTGAACAATGATATCAACAATTAAAACTTTACCATACGTGGCATTTCTTTCCCAGCGCTTCAATCTGTATTTCACCAGGAGTACACTCAAAACCTTTTGAAATGCACAGAGCAACTAAGTGACATTTTATGTCTCTCTTTCAGCAGCCAAGTTCTAGTGAATTCTGACCCCTGAACTGTACTTTAGCAATCACTTTAGGCAATAAGCTCCTGTGACACTGCTGGACAAAATGTCAATCACTAAAATTAACAGTTGAGCTGAAAGTGTCAAATCTTTGTAGCTGTGTCACTGTGATGTTTAGGAAACAGCAATCTTGGGAAGAAACAGTGAAGAAGGGACAGAAATTATCCACTTTGTGCACTTTTGCACAGTCCTGTGTTATCTGGGCCACAGTTGCCTTGCAGTGAGAAAAAAAACATAGCTTTATTTTAGAAGTGAAACAAATTAACTGTTAAATGGGGAAACTCATGGTGAATGCTCCAGTTCCTTTGTTTAAGATGGCATTTTTCTGGAACTCATGGTGAATGCTCCAGTTCCTTTAAGATGGCATTTTTCTGTTTTTAATTATAATTTGCTTGCCTGCTTTGTAATACTTGAAAGCAATCAAAGGCACATCAGATGGTACTTTAGTACCCATTCTTCCCCTCTGCTCCTCCCCCCCCAAATTTCTTCAGTTGTGAGAAAGATTTTTTGAAAAAATGCCACCACCCTGCTAATCTTGAAAAAGCCTTCTGATAAAGACGCTATTTTTGGCTCTGAAGTTGGGCCTAAGCAAGCAAAATAATAAAATGCTATAACAATTTGGTCTTGTTCAGCACTCAGAATGATACAAATATTTGTCTGCTGGATATAAAGGGCAGTACACGTTGGACAAGCTGTGAGTAGTTGCAAACTATAAATTATTTCAGATCTGATTTTCAAACATATATGAACTCTTCTGCTCAGTGGCATCATCTGTAACTGTGACTGTAGTAAACTTCAGAGATGTTTTAACTTCAGAGAAATTCCTTAACAGCTGAAATAACCAAAGAGCCACTGTTGCTAATCTTGTTGGTAACTCGTGGTATAGTGATAGCAGGTTGCAGCTGTGATTTTGGATTAAGTATGGTGTGGAGGGACAAAAATATTTCATCATCATGACATACAGGTGCCAGTGGACTGGCCAATGTGAGTGGGCAGTAGAAGGGGTGGAGCAAGATAGATTTATATCTCTCTGTAAGCTCACTGACTTTCTGGACAATACAGGCATAAGAGCTGGAATTTGCAAGAGTATGAAATGTCTCTAGGGGAGGAGTATCGCAGGACTAATGCCTTGTTTCACTTTTTTCTGTTCCTGGTAGTGATAACAGGCAGAGGAACATAGAATTTGGACATTAACATTATAAAGACAGAAAGTTAATGCGACTTCTTAAGGACAGAGGCAGCATGGTACGATTAGTGTTTGGGGAGTGAAGTCATCTTTAAGAGTGCAGAGATGCATGCAGATTTTAGAGGGTGACATCAAGTATCATCCGACTTTTGAAACTCTTTCAGAAAGTCAGAAGGTGAAGATCTGAGCAAGGGATAATGCACTTACAGAGCACCTTGCAATTCTGTAGAGATACCAGTTTCATATGATCTGTGACAGTGACCTTGACTTCACATGATTTCTTTTGTTCTAAGACCTAGTTTAAATATGGCTTTGTGACCTATTATTTGAGGTCTTTGCATAACATATATCCAGGTTGCAAACCTTTGCAGTTTTGGACCAGAAACCTCCTACTGATGCCAACAGGAGTTTGAAGTCCAGGGGTAGATTCCAGCTGATTATGGGAACATCGATGGCATAGATAAAAGCAGTTTGACACATCACATATAGTAATGAGACATCTGTCTTATCACCTAAGACTAGTTTACCGGGTAAAAAAACAAGATATTCATGAGAGCTGCATGTATGTCCTGCAAGAGTTGAATGAGATTAAATGATGCAAAGACCCCATCCCTGTCTGAGTATGAAGATCTTTTTGTCCTTCCCTCTTTTGTTTCTTCCTTTAATTGATTTCTCCTTTGCAGTGAGATTTGACTAGATAAAGCAATGGCCAGACAGGTACTATATTTTGCTGCCCTCTCATTTTCAGAACCTAAATCATACAGATAACAGACTGACCAGCCAGCGTGACCATTGCACTTATGAAAAATCCAACTGGCTGTCGTAGAAACAGCTTTTTAAATTTGGTCAAGCAGATAAATGAAATAGAAGCATCAAATTAGATCTTGTTTGGTTCAGTTTTCTATAAAGAAAACAACTTCTTATAATTCAAGTAGGAAATTCTTACGTGAATTTCTTAATAAATCTTCACTAACTTTATCCTTTCCATCTCTTTTGTTTCTTTTTCTTCCTTCTCCATGCTTAAAGTGCACCACTGAGTTTGCTTCTGTCCTCCATCCCTCCACTTCTCTGCTGTCTCTTCCTACCCTCATTGTTCAAGTTGCCTTTTACCTTGTTTTCCTTTCTCATTTCCCCCCTCAGAGATCCTTATTCTTTGGAATATTTATTTCACATCATGAAGAAGAAATTAAGTGAAAGAGGATCACTGGAGTCAGAGTGTATTGCACTGCAGAAACTGGGAAGGTTATAAAATCAATCATCTTTTTCTTTTCCTTCCAGTTCCTTTCCTATTTTCTTTCCCGTCTTCCTATTGTATTCTACACTTTCCTTTCCTTCTGTCTCCCATCATTACCACAGCAGTGTTTCTCCATCTGCAAAGAGAACCAGGCAGCATAAGCAGGCTCCTTTGCTGGACAGAAGATAAAGGAGGAGCTATAAATACCTTCAAAATGGCTTGAAAGCTTTAGGTTTGATTGACTTGGCATGTGGTACAAGACAATATAGCTTGACAGCTCTGGCAGTCCTCATGAACATAGACAGTCAGCCAGTCTATCTTCTACATTTTGTTCTTTATTATTTGCCATCCATAAACCTTCTGTTACTTGAAATGAAAGTTTGACTGAGATGCGTTAAATCCATTCAAACAGAGCTAGCAGAGAATATAAATAACATATCAAATGTGAAAATAATGATGATTCCCCCCTCTCTTTCTTGCCTGTCATCTTGCAGTGGAGAAAGTGGTTCTGGAAAGACTGAAGCCTGCAAACAGATCGTGAAGCACCTCACTTGCAGAGCCAGTTCCAGCAGAAATGCCTTTGATACAAAGATAAAACATGTAAGTAAGCTTTCTGATCATGGACTAGAACAAAGCAAAAATCTGACCTCTTGGACAGGCAAAGACATTTGAACTGTAAGGAAAAAGGCATCTGCTGTGCAGAAGTTCATAAAGGGTTTGTTTTCACCGATGAAGTCAATGGAGGCATCTTCTGTTGAATTGACCTGAATGAGAACAGGATTAAGCTCACATTCATGGACAAGAGGAAACTGAAAAGTGGAGGGCAGTTTTGTTTCTATATGTTTTGTTGACTTAGGAAAGCCATGTTTTGGTTAATAGGAAACATTTGTGTGATAAGGTACTACCCCCTAAATGTGTACTAATTGCCTTCAGTAAGTAAATAAATTTATCTGTATGGTTGTGGTGGTGCTTCTCTGGACAGTATGAGAACTGCTGAGGCATCTGAAGTAATAGTATGTGAGACAGAAACTGAAAAGTTGCAGGAAAACTGCAAGGACCGAACAAAGTTATATGGCCCAGTATTTGTATACTAAATGTGTTTACAAACTAGGCAAGAATGCTAAATATTTGCTCAGTCATATTTACTTCCCACAGCAGAACTGAATTCTGTCCAGTGTGTAACGCGAAATCATGAGGACCTGTTTCATGTATCAAATGTATGTCTCCTTGCTAGTTCATTGTAAATGGGAAGTTTTTGTTTGACTGAACATTGCAACTCGTGTTTCATTGTTACAGCTGTAACACTACTGTAAGTTCGTGCTGATATTTTAAATTATGCTAAACCCTAGATTGCCAATTCAAATTCTTTCAAAAACTTGCTTTTCCTATTGAAAATTCTCATCTGAAATCCCAGCTCAGAGACAGATTGGTGCAGAATGTTTAGCACAGTCTGCGTGGTCATATCTCAGTTCTGAGTTTCATACTTAAAAAAAAAAAAAAAAGAAAAAAAAGATTTGACTCTTTCACCCACTCTGGTGACCTTCCTCTACAGCACTTACAGTTGACTGAAGATCTGAAGATACCTCTTCTTCTTTTTTTTTTTTTTTTTTTTTGTAGCTTTCACTTGCCACGTGCATGATATTCAACAGAACTCTAGAATTGTTCATTGTGGGGTTTTTTAATAGCATCACATGCATCATTCAGAACACACTGCTTTCATCCTGAATTATGCATGATTCAGTCCAGAAAGATGATAAAAAAGTGTCAGAAGTATAGCTGACACTAACAGACAACCTACAAATCAGGATTATTGAGATGTGGGAAAGGCTACATGTACACTGGTTCATATTTTCTACATTCCAGCCAATAAGGTAATAAAGGTCCTATGGATTTTGGGTGGATTTTAGAAAACAGTGTTTCATTTGTGTTTTCTGAAGATATTAAAAAAGCCTGATGACACTGACAACACTACAGCTGAATAAGCTGTAGCTTTACTTTGTGTAGTTATACAGTTGCCATGCTGAAGTGTTTTTCACAGTGTTATCTGATACATTGATTATATTCCTGAACTGACACATTTAATCTAGGTTTCACGTATCAATGTTAAGAATACCCTTGTTATTTTTTTCACTTTTTTGATACAAATGCTGCAGTCTAGGGTTGCAATAATACCGTTACATAGGGAGAGCCCACTTTTACTTTATTTTAAACCCAAGAGCCAGATCTGCAAGTGATATCTATTTCTACTGTGTATTTTTTTATTTACTACCTACACAGGTTTACTTACAATTTTGAACTGATCAGGCTGTAGATGTTATTCAATTCCAAACTTCATGTCAGATCCTCCAATCTCCAAAGTTCAGATTAAGTAGTGAGTAGAAGAACTAACTAAATAAGCAACTTTGTGAATAAGCAACTGAAAACAGGTGCTTTGGATACAAATATGGCAGCAGTGGGAATCAGGAGGTGTGGGAAGCAGTATTGTCACTGCTGCAACTTGTGTCCTAACCATAAGGAGATTCCCAGGGAAAATCATCATGATCGAGTGTAAATGAAATAAGACTTTGTCCTGTCCTGGTTTGAGGGTCCCAGCGGCCCGAACCATGACATGTCCTCAGTTAAGAAGAGGAATCAGTGTGGGAGGGGCCTGACCAGGCCTAATTTTCTCCATCTAAAAATTAGTTAACTTTGTAGACTACTTTAACCTACTCTACATCTATGTAGTAAACTGAACAACAGACCCTAATATGCAGTTGTTACCCTGCTCCCCGAAACAGTTTAAATCCCCAACAGGTCCTCTGGCCACAGTTCAGAGGACAACATGTGCCAGAGACCATTCACAACAGTATGTCCACCCTATTCTGCAAAAGAAGAGGTAGATGTTTGAATGTGAACCTTACCACATCACTCACCATAGATGATAGAGTCCCGCTCCTGGTCCTGGTTAGTTTAATAGTATAGATGTAGCCATGCGTGTCAATGGGACTTAGTCAGTGCAGGCAGATGAGAATCGTATCATATTAAGAAAAATGAGTTGCCTTTTGGTTATAGAAAGATCCCTTGTAACTAGCTTAGATGGGACACCTGACTTCAGACAGCAAAGATAGATGTAGCAGATCCCACCCGTGGAGAATACAGTAGACATTCTGGTTTAGTTGTCTTTT